GGCTCCAGAGCCGTCCTGTAAGCAGGAGTGTGATCAAGCTTGCCCTTGGAAATCCTCAGGGAGGAGCCCTGCTGGGGGCTAACAGGCTGAGCCTCCTGGAGCACCCCTTGAGGCTCAGTGTCCCTGGGCTCTGCAGTCGGCTAGGCCCCTGGGTGAAGCAGTCTGTGCTGAACTGTTCACCTAAAAGGAGCCGGCTGCACAGGAGTCAGGCACTGTGGGGCCAACTGGCAGGTCCGTGGTTCAAACCCAGCAGCTGCTTGGTGGGAGAAAGGCCCTGGAGCTCCCCTCCCCCGGAGATGACAGCCTAGAAAGTGCTTTGGGCGGTCCTCCCGTGTGTCTCATGCATGGGGTCGCGATGAGTCAGACTCAACCTGATGCACGGGACCAGCCACAGCAACTAACCCGCCCAGGGGTGCCCCGGAAGAAAGGCCTGGCAATCCGCCCCTGTACCGATCACTACCCCGAGAACCACGTGGGGCAGCTTTCCTCCAAAGCACATGGGTGGCCGTGGGTCAGAATTGATGTGGAAGCTACAGGTGTTTGTTGGCTTGCTTGCTTGGCTGTACTAGCTCACAGGGGGAGCTGCTTGCTTTGGGGGAGCCGTGGCCGGGAGAGCGTTCTTAACGCTGGAACCTCGTGCAGCGCTGGGGGAGGCTCCCCTTAGAGTAAGGTGACCAGATTTTAACATTGGTAAAGCGGGACAAAAGTGGGACACCATTGATAAAACTCATATCCTGGCGAAATAGCCACATGGCAGCCGAAAATCATATACCCTAGCTTGTGCATTCTTTCAAAAAATTTGGACTTTTTAAAAAATGCTGCGGGGTGCGGGAAAAATTATTAGAAATTGGGCTGTCCCGCCAAAAGCAGGACGTCTGGTCACCTTACTTTAGAGGCTAGCAGGATGGTGGGAGGGAACGACCTGCCTTTCGAAGTAGATCACAGGCCTTTCTTCCTGGTCTTCCTAGTTGGAATCCCACCTCCACTCGCAACTTTCCCCCCGATCCTGGGCCCAGCTCCTGTGTGGGATGGTGCGCCCCATTTATATGTTCTTTCCCGCCGTCTTTCTCATAAGAAGCAGTTGCTTTGCCCAGGGAGAGCCCTGTAGAGGGAAGCCCCACTGACTGGTAAACACTGACTCAAACGTTTTCCTAGTGCTATTAAACGCGCGGAATGCAGGGGGGAAAGTACCACGTCAGCAGCACCCCACCCCCTGCCCCAGCCCACTGTCAGGATGGGGTGTGTCTTTCCAGAGTTTTCCTGCGAACATTTGTGAATGTGCAAGAAATAGCCTGCAGTAGAATCCTCGCCCTCACGCAGGAGACCCAGGTTTGATTCCCAGCTGAGACAAGGCAGCTATAGTCACCCTGTGTCCGTCCGCCTGGCTGCCTGCTGCTCTGGGGCTGCACTGGCTTCAGTGGAGCTCCCAGGCAAAGGGGGACTAAGAAGGGAGGCCTGGCGACCTGCTTCTGAAAGTCAGCCTCGAAAACCCTATGGCTCACATTGGGTGGTGGGTGTGGCACAGACCCCCAGGCAGTGTTGGGCTCTGTTGTGCTTGGGGGCACCAGGAATCCCAGGCCGGCTCTCCAGCTGTTAGCCACAACTAGTCTGTGTGACTTGGTGTATTTCAGTGTCTGGGTGTACCACACAGAGCACTGCACCGCTTCTCTGCCTGTTTCTCCTGCTGATAAGGTGCAGGGTGCTGACACTGGGGAGGGCAGCTGTCTCTCCGTTCAGCTTTTTTGTCTCCATCTGGACATTGGCCTCCATTTTCACGCCCTGCCCCTACCTCCTGCTGGACTCTGAGCTGGCCTCCCAGGGTCAGTTTCCCGTGAGCCGTTTTGACCGCTGTCTCTGCTTTGCAGGCCAAGAACAAGGAGACAGGGGACTTGGCTGCGGCCAAAGTCATCGAGACCAAGAGTGAGGAGGAGCTGGAGGACTACATCGTGGAGATCGAGATCCTGGCCACCTGCGACCACCCCTACATCGTGAAGCTGCTGGGTGCCTATTACTACGACGGGAAGCTGTGGGTAAGAGCACCGCCGCCCGGCCCCTTCAGGCCCTCTGCATCCCCTGTCCCCTCCCCTCGGGGCCCCACCATGGCTCTGCAGGCTGTGTTGAT